CAGCCAGCCATGTGCTTCGATCGGAACAGGTGATAATCGGAAGGGGCAATGTCTGGTGAATACGGCGGATGGGGTAGGACTTCCCATTTAAACGTTTCCAAGTAGGTTTTCACCAGTTGTGTAACATGTGGCCGTGCGTTGTCATGTTGCAAAATCACTTTCTCGTATAAATTACACCCAGCTGATCCCACCAAATGCAGAGCAGAAGCTTCGAACCATGGATATTCAGCTTTGCCGACGATGTTGATGCATGGCCGGGCTTACCCCACGATCTTTTACGCTTAGGATTATCGTAGTGTATCCACTTTTCATCATCAGTCACTCCTAATATTATAAAATAAGTGAGATTGATTTTATGACAGATTTATACTATCGGATAAACTGAAGACACGGTAATGTCTCGGCGCTAAGACATAGCGTCAGACACTGCCGTGCTCCCTTACGCGAGCCGGCGAGTTGCGCCAGATCGAGATTATCGGATCTCAGTAATAGTAATTTACTATCGAGTATATCTTGAAAACAAAGTACGTGAATTTTATAATTCATGAATTAAGAAATTTATGAATTAAAAATATTTACAAATTAAGTTTTAATATTTTTTTAATTTGTTTTTTATTTTACAATATAAAAGCAAAAAATTTTTTAATCCCGGTCAATAATATAAAATAGATGAAATGTATTCATTAAACTTGCTCATGATATGTTTAATGAAAAAGAAAAGACTGGTTTATAAAATAATAAGAATCTTTACGCTGATTCATGAGATGCGTAAAAGGAGATATTAAAGCTTATTCGCAATAATGTACCTTGCATAGTTTTCAAGATTAACATATAAAACGATTTGATTGTAAGTTGTAAAATAGACATGATCTGACATAATTTTTTAATATAAGCATTATGTTAGACATTATATTAGCGTATAAATGTATTATATAAAAATTAGCGACCGTTACAATTGAAATATTTTTTGTACCAACCAATAAATTATTTTTTTTATAGAAGAGAAATATTAATTAAATTTTTTACATAAAATTTGGTTCAATATCTGTTTTATCATCCCTTCTCCATCCATTTTTTAATAATCTAAAACTTATTGTGATATGAGCATTAAAGTATTATTAACTATTTAACTCAGGACAGAAAATTGTTACAGATTGTGGGAGTAATCTTATTTGAATCGGCTTCAATTCGTACTCTTCACGATCAATATAAAACATCTGATTTTCATTCATCTGAAACGAAACCAATAACTTTATTATCATCTCTAAGAATGCTATAGCTATGAAATAATTATGTACTTTAATACATATTAATATATAAAATATTTTATCAATATTTATGAAAAGACTTACTATTTCAGGATATAATTCAATATCCTTTGCATCTAATATTAATTTTGTTGGCAGTTCATTGTCCCTTTCTTGTTTCCATCCTTTCTCAACAAATTTGGCATAACTAATATTTTCTGGGCCTTAATATAAAATTGAGTATATTTTGAATTTTAATTGTTTTTAATATTTAAATAATGAATAAATATACATATATATGATACGTTATTATTACCTAAAGTCATTTTTAATAAAGGCATTGATTGAACTGATACATTTTCGGTTTTTATGCTTAGCTGTGTTGTTGAAATAGGCATCTCATGAAATATGCCACAGTCTTCATTCACTACTTTACTATAATCGACGTGATTATCTAAAATATATTTTATAATACAAAATATACTCTATTAAATTTATATGTATATACATACATAAGATGCTACTAAAATATTTGGAATACACTTTCTTTTTTTTTTTAATAGATAAAGTTTACTTTTTAAAAATTTCTTGAAATATTTTATCGTATTTCTATCATTTTCATCTTATTATTTTGATTTTAGTAACATCCTGAATAGTTAATTTCTAATTTTACAAGGATTTTATTACCAGAAACAAATGTTTGCTGCTTTGGCAGAAATGTATGCCACCATCTTCTATTCGAATTCGTAAATTGGTTGTAAGATAAATCTTTGGAATAACAACATGAACATCCTTTGCAAGGATTTGTATATTTCATTAGTGCATTGCACTTCCAGGTCAAGTTTGATTTGTAACCGTTGAACACATAGGCCGCATATCTGTTTATATTAAAATATAGAAAACATAGGACATAAGGCATGAGAAGTCTCGCTTAAAGAAATTAAGAGATTTACTTGCGTAAGGAACCCCAATACCAATATTTGTCAATGCGTGCATGTGTATCGCTCCAAGCTCCCCATTCTATGCCTCCAACAGCATAAACTGGCTTTATGGGATCTTCAGGATCGTTCTTAAAATAAAAATTTTTATTTCAATGCAATTTGATCTACGTCAAACAAATGAAAGCGATGAAAGTACATACGGTCAGTAATTTAATCTCAATGGCGTCTACCGATTTGAAACTATTCTTAACAATTGCCATTGTTGCATCGATCATGTGGTGTACGTCGATTAAATCTTCGTACCCTCGATAAAATATACTCGCAATTGTATTTGTGTTTCCCAATGGCAAAACACCAATAGGACATTGTTTGGCTGAATGAAGATTGTGCTCGTACTTTCTCATCAAACCAGTTATAACATCTGACAGAGTACCATCTCCTCCTGCTACAATAATCGCATCAGTAGGCGTTTCCAAATTCATTATTGTATTACGTGCATGGCTTCCTGATTGTGTGTCGATGACAGTTACAGAAATGCCAGCCAAGTGTAATAGAGGCTCGCAGTACTTCTGAAATAATTTCTTGGCCTTTCTGAAAAGAGAAAAAGAAAAAAACGATATCAGCGAAGAATGAATATTTCATATCAATATTGAAATTCTCACAACCATTGCATCACCTTTTTTTAGCAGCTGGATTTAAAATAACAGTCACATGACGAGGTCTAATGTTTGTAAGACAAGAACCATCTCCATACTGGACTACTTGTTCACAACACTGACGCATTAATTGCTCCGTACTAGATATGATACAATAATATAATAAAATTCAATGATATGAAGTCTTAATATTATATTTAAAGTTTATGTATGTAAAAATAATGTATTATCTTAGAAAAAAAAAACTGTATTTATAGCTATGAATAAGTAATGTTCAAAGCATCATACAGCATCACAATGAATGATTTCCATTTAATGACACAAGTTGACATACAAAAATTAGTTTATCTTTTTTGGGATTCAATAAATAACAAAGATAAAACGATATTTAGGTCAACTTGTGTCATCAAATGCCCTCAATGTGTGCATGTAAATTTAAAGAGTTTGAGGTTATGTTCCCCATGGTTACTCACTCATATGCTTGTTTACCGTAGGATATTCCATATGAAAAGGCCGCGGCTCCTACCACAGATTTCTTCCAGTTATTACGTATCGTCTTCAGTAAAGTTAGCACCTTAGCCATCGTTAATTAAAATCTTAAAACCATTTGGAGTCTAGCTACTTTCTACAGCTCTCTGTTATTCGGATTTGCGATTCGATTCGTCTTTACCTCCCTTATCTCGTGATTTATTTTATTTCTATCTATAAATTCTTTGACTTCTTAATTTCACGTTATTTTCATTCTATATAAAATATAGAATAGAAAAATGACGTCGTTCTCACCGCATTACAAACATTTTTGAATTCCCAGGTGAACCAATAGAACAACGTAGGGACTTGGAATTTCTGTTTTCCATTAGGAAAACTAATGCAATACTGGAGCCCATATTCAGAACGCGCTTAAGCCCAGTGTCCACGATGCTAGAAATCCGTCCGAGATCTCGGATGAAGAAAGAATTGACCAATCGCATTGATCATGTGACTAAATTGTTTAAATGTGATTGGTTAATTCTTTCTCTCTCCGA